ATGAACCCCAACATGAAGTGGTGCTTTTTCCTTGCCAGTTGCAACGTGCTCTGCACCCACAGGCATTGGCATTGCCTTTTAGCTCCCAAGCTCTGTGGCCCAGGAGCTGGACAAACATGCAGACTGACACAGCTTCAGCTGCTCTCTTCTCCCTGTCTGAAACCCATCACGAGGACTGCATGTCCGAACCGCTCTCAACCATTTCAGCATGGAGCCAGACAAAAATTGATATAGTTGTAAAAATGCTTTTCAGATATTCTCTGAACTGAAAGCAAAGACTCAGAAGCAGCACTGGCAATCCGGCAAGTTCAAGTGCAGCAGTTTGAAAGCGAAGGAGTTTAACGGGTGACTGAATACCTGGGGGGCACCTAATAAGGCTTTCAGCGATTCATTCCCAAGACCTAGTCTGAATAGCGTTCAGAGTCACAGCTGGGCTGCAGAAACAAAGCGGGAACAACCTCAGCACTCACTGATGGATTTACTGCTCCCTGCAGGCATTACAGGATGCTGCCCCCAAATTGCACAGGTTTATGCAGCTCCCTCATGCTGAGTTTTGAGTAGGATGAACAGCAAAGACTCGTGTGGGCCACAGGCCTGAGCATAATAAGCTACTGCTGGGTCACAGCCCCAGAGTGGGACTTACCAGCACAGGGCTTGCAAGCCATTGCACACTCAATACATCCCCTGGTCTCTGACAGCCCCTCTGAAGTGCATCCTCGAGGCTACCATCAGCAACATGGCCAGTCCGGAGTGTGGCAGGTCAATGGGCAAATGGAAGGCTAATGAATTTGTCTGCAGACATCTTGTGCTGAAGACTGGAGAGCTGGAGCATGGAGCCGCATACTGGGTGCCGACCACCACTGCCCATGCTCTGGGGAGGACACACAGATGTCTGTTCCACATTTAGATAGCAAGGAGGACCCTGTCTTTCCTGGGGGCTTGTCCTTGTCCTCCCAGTGGGCACAAAGGCAGTAGTGTGTGTGTGCAGGGAAGAAGCTGGGAGCTAGTCTGGGAGAAGCCCATTGCAACTGCAGCTGTTTGCACAATGCAGAGCGTGTCCTGGCTGCACAAACACTGCTTGGGCCATGGCTTGAAAGCAATGAGTTGCCAATGGCACACCCTTCTTTTGCACTCTTACAAAGTCCCCCACTCCAAATTCTAGAACAAAAAGCAGCAAAATGGAATGGTCAGAACCAGTTCTTTCAGTCCAGACACCTGTTTAATGAGACTTTCCTGCAGGATGGAGTCTGAGGAGGGGCTCAGACAACCAGGTCTTATGCTAAACAAATCCAGCATGGGCTGTTGGGGCCATCCTGCTTTGCTTCCAGCCTGCTTTCAGCTACAAGAGGCACAGGTGGCTGGTAGACCTGTCCAAGGGGCTAGACCAGGGGAAACTGCAGCCCCCCCAAAGTGCCATTCCCAGTCAGTCCCGATTTCATACAGCAGGCAGGACGTGGTGCTCTGCCAAGTGAATTGTCCTAAGGTGAGAGAGGGTGAAAGATATAGCCCGGATCAAGCACTGTGCCTGCTGGGCACCTGCCAGGCATGGGGGACCCCAGCAGGGCACAGTGCACACACTGTGTCTGTCATGTCTGCAGCCCTACATGCCACAGGGCTGAGATTCCAGCATGGCCTCTTTGAACCCAAGAAGTGGTCAGGTACAGTATAACTTGCATGACATGCAGCCAGTGTGGTGAAATGGGGGGACCTTGCTGTATACAATGCAGGCAAAGCCCCAGGGTCAGTGCGATGTAAACAGGAATTGCCAGCTGCAGGCTTCTGCTAAGCAGCCCTGGCCCCTGCTTTTCCCCACACAGCAAACAGGATGCTGAGAGATCCTGCTGCTGCTGCCGTGAGTGGAAGGAGTCAGAGTAACTCCATCACAAATACACACCCTCTCCCATCCTGGTCTCGGTGTCATGAGCACAGCAGACACTGAAGGGGCAGAGCTGCCTTCATGCAGGGAGCCACTCTTTGAAAGCACTAAGGATTACAGAGGAAGCTATGGAGACTGTTGTGTGCATGTGCTCCCCAGCTGAGGCCATTTCTGGCATTAGGAAAGGCCCAGCTATTACACCAAGCTCTGCTCAGTTGTATGAGTGCTGTAACCCAAAAGCCACTAGCCCTATCCTCGCTGATCCTACACTGAGACACTGTCACATAATAGACACCAGTACTTCTCTAGTCTGGGGTCCCATCACCACCAGTGACTGCAAGCAGACACCTAGGGAGGCAGGGAACAGGCTGAACACAGCAATACTGCCCTGGATGCATTCCCAGCTTTCAACAACGCAGTGAATCTGAGGCTGGAAGCAGCCACTCAACACCCAATAGCCCACCATGGATTTCTTTTTTAGTCTTTTCTTTTTTTCCTTTGTAATCAGTCTCAAGCTCTGACCCCCCTGCCCTGGATCTTTTCCAGTTCCAGTTAGTTCAAGGCCTTCTGCTGCTCCTCCAATTTACAAAGAGGGTTAAGAGATAATAATACAACACAAGCTAACTCAGCCAGGTCTGGATAAAGTTTCTATCACGTCCTTAAAGAGGTGACTCTGCCAAGGTAGGAAAAAGTAAGTCACAGCCTTGGAGAAGTAGGAAACACCAAGAAAGGTGGCTCTTCCCACCCAGCAGCTAGGGAAATGTGGGAAGGAAGGCCGTTTCAGCCAGGCCATTTTATCTCTAAGACCAGATGGCTCTAAATGCTTCCCCAGAGCTTGGAGAGGGGCAGGCTCTGATTTGAATTGCTTTTCATACTGCCTTATTAGAAAGTAAAAGGGAAGAAATGAACAATCTATAACTCTGTGGCATTAGGAAACAGCTCCGTTAATCCCGTTTCCTTTTCGAGTTTACTCAGGGCAGGTCACCCAGCATCAGGGCCACATCACCTAATCTGCTTACCATTGCCCCACAGTGAGGAGCCTGGGCACCAGCCCAAAGGGCAGATGCATCCTCCCGGGCATAATTAATAAATTGCAAAAGCCCAGGTTGTTAAAACTGACCCTGGTGCTTAATTGCAATGCTCCCAGCACCCAGCTTCCACTTGCTGATGCAGATCCAAGCAGTGGCCACCTCCCATACCCAGCCCTGTGGGAGTGAGGGCAGGAGGTGCCAAGCATTGCTGGGGGAGCATACAAAGGGAGAAGGAAGGTGCTATATGGAGAGGCATCCTAGGGCAGGCACTGCAAAGCCCAGGGTTGGGGTACCTGTGGGACCCCTGCATTCTGAGCTGCAGGCCTCTAGGTTTCTTGGCCTGTCTGGACAAAATGAGGGCAAATCTGAGAAGATGCGGAATTCCTCCCTTTCCAGCAGTGCTGAAGCATGGCCCACACGCAACCATCTGGGATGGGGAGCAAAGCCCTTGTCAGCCACACAGGGCTCAGGGCTTGCTCCCATGTGCTCACAGCTACAGCTCAGCCTGGCTGGTCTGCAGGTGACTACTGCTTTACCTGCCAGCACTGCCACCAAGCTGCACCTTGTCACCTCAGTAAAAGCTTCCTGAGCTTGGGAGGAGCCAAATGGTACTGACAAGTACTCATCCATGGCACCCAGGATCACCGTGCCACCCAGCTCGCCTCCAGCCCATTCCTTCTGCCTCCCTCTCCCCAGGGGGAACTATGTCTTCTCACGCCTAACCTCATATCCAAAGGGAAAGAAAAATAGTCAGGACTAGAAGATTTCAGGCTCTTTCAGCTCTGGTCAGGGCTGGGGTCCTGTGGCAGAAGGCAGCCTTGGGAAACACAAAAGGCAGGGAGAGTTGGTGTGTTGGTTGGACCCACAGCTCCTTAGGCAGAAATGGGCAGCTTGGCATGTCTGGAGTAGGGTGAAAGTTAATGAGACTAACCCCTTAGCTCAGGTTCTTAGCTGAGGAGTGCCAATTTTTAGCAAACTACTACCTGCTTACAGCAAAGCTGGGTGTCCCCAATCTGAAACTAGGCACAGCTGGATGTCAGCATTGCTGCCCTGCAGGCACAGCTGGGCACATGAGCCTCTGACTGAGCCCAATCCACCCTGCCTTCCAGCTGGGCTGAGATCCAGTGTTTAACAGCTCCGCTATCTGTCCTTGAAATGATGTGGCACCCACAGAGCAGCACGGCTTTGGGGACGCTCAGGAATAGCTGCAGGACACAGGAAGGTTGCTGAGGTGCAGCTGCTGTAGCACAGACCCATGCAGACCCCATGGCAGCGCAGAGGTGCTGTAGAGCACACGTGCAGCCAGCCCTCCAGATCAGCTGGGGTTCATCATCCCAAAATAACACACAGAGGATGCTGCCCTCTTTTGGGCTCAGCGTGACTGGCAGTATGACATTCAGAGAGGCCCAAGACCAATGCCTTTCGTGGCTCAAAATCCCGCATAGGGGGTCTCAAATGCGGTGACTTCCTGTATCTCTCTCAATGGACATCCCAGGGGCTTTTCCCACTGGGAGCCAGGCTGCTGTCCCTGCGGGTGGCCTCTGAGTGCAGCCTGGGAAAGGAAGAGCAGGGCCGATCTCAGGAGTGGTCTTCGAGGGACCAAGGAGATGCTCGCTGGGATGAAGAGCAAGAACATAAATGATTCTGTGATTCCATTAAAACGTAGACCAGGGTCCGGGCAGGTCTCCTGGGCCATGGGGGTACCACGGGGTCCTTATGAACTGTGAGACCCACTAGCATTTCATCTTAATCAACGACTTTCACACATTAATCCAGCAGATAGTTTAATTGATGGAGCTGTACCAGGGTCCTGCGCTTTCACAGCAGGAAAAGGTGGGGACGGAGCGCTGCCCAGCCCTGGTGTGACACCGAGATGTCCCAGTGCCGCCTCTATCCCGTGACGGCTGCCTGCCCCCGGTCCCGGTGCAGGCGCTCGGGGCTGGGTGCCGGCCAGCCCTGCCTGTGCCGGGCTCCTCCCTGCCCGCACTTCCTCCTCCCGCTGGCACCTCCCCGTGCCCCGGGCACAGCCTGGGCGCCGGGCTGACCGACCACCCTGCGGGGCTCCGGGGCTGCTGCCTCGCCTTGGGGCAGCGCTGGGGCACCAGGGACACCTCCTGTGACCGGGTGACGAGCAGCGAGCCCCGGACCTCCCCGCGGACCTCTGTGCCTCTTCACCCACCCCCGCAGCATGCGGACACCGACAGCGATGATCGTGGGGCTGGTCCTGTGTCCCTGCGGGCTCCTGCTGACGCTCACGGGCACACTGGCACCCAACTGGCGGCAGGTGAGCCTTATACCCGACCAGCCCATTGACCTCGTCACGGAGCAGGGCATCTGGGACATCTGCACGGAGAGGCAGAGCAGCCACAACCGCCTCTGCGGGCAAGCTGATGAGCTGGGCTACTTCAAGCAGGTGCCTGTGCAGGTGGCCCAAGGGATGATGCCCTCCTCGCTGGTGCTCACTCTGGTGGGCTTGCTGGTGGCTGCCCTAGGGGTTCGCTGCTGGCAGGAGGAGCCACGGCACACGCTGGCTGGCGTGGCAGGGATTGTGTTGCTCCTTTCAGGGCTGCTGAGCCTTGTGCCTGCCTCCTGGTACACCCATGAGCTGTGGGCACTGCCCGCACCGGCTGGCAGCACACTGGTTGTAGGCTACAGCTTGGTGCTGAGCTACTTGGGAAGCTGCTTTGAGATCCTGGGGGGGCTGGCCCTCGCCCTCAGCTTCCACCACTGCTGCAAGAAGCTCAGGGCCCCCAGCCTGCCCCCCAGCCCTGTGCTGGAGGCTGAGCCGTGCCCCACCACTGGGGCTTACCACAACCCCTGGGATGTGTTGGAGGACGAGCGACATGGACAGCAGGGGAGGAGCACCCTGCCTTGTGACTCTGACTTGTAGGCCTAGCACAGGGGCAGCAGTGGGCACTGTACCTGCCTGGCACTGAGAGGTGCACTGGCTCCTGCCCCTCCAAGCCATGCCCTTCTCTTGGGGTACCTCAGAGCAGGCTGGAAACAAAACCAAGGGCTTGGCTTGAGTCTCTGCAACCTCCTCAAAAGCCTGCTGTGCTCCAGGTCCCTCAGCTGTGCCACAGTCGTGCTGGGTTGAGGATCAGCCCTGGATGCAGTCTCTCCATGCAGCTTTTGGCTTCTCCTGCACTGTGCAGCGGCTTGGGCAAAGGTAGCTCAAGTGTTCCCACGTGAGTGTTGTAAATAAAGTTCAGTCAGCTGAATCCTTTTAACTGTATTCTTTTGTACGAGTAGTTTTGCTTAGCATGAGTAGCTAACATTGCTGAAGCCTTAAGCTGCAAGCTGCAACCTAGAGAAGTTGAACTTGTCTTGAATTGTTGCTTAGTTATGCAAAAGGAGTCCCTGAGACCAGTGCAAACTGGAAGATAAGGAAGCCATGACCATCAGCAGGAGCTGTAACCTATCCAGATAAAAGCTGCTAACAACCTGCCTGGAGACAGAAGAAGAATCCAATAAGGAACAAGAAGTCTCCAGAACAAAAATCACAGTTCGACCAAGAGGCATGTGCAAGGCACATGAAGAACAGGTACATAGATTGTAAGGGTATAAAACCCCAGGGATTTCATTGTTCCAGGTGCCTCTCCAGAGGCACCCAGCTCAAGCTGTCCCTGTGGGCCTACCACTCTATTAAATTTTCTCCTGGCATTGGATGTCTGACACTCTGCTGCAGGAAACCTAGGGCAAAGACCTTTCTTTAACAGGTTGGTGACCCAGATGGGATCCTAGGCCACCACTTCCACACCCTCTGGTCTCCATCCAACTGTTGGCATTGGGTGAATTCTGCTCCTGGGACCTTTGGAGCCAGAGGCATGAAAGGGTGAGTATTAAAAACTCTCTAAGCAAATTCAGAAACAATGCTGTAGTGAGTTTGAGTCCCTCCCTTGCTGCAGCTTGCTTATGGGTGTGCAGCCTGATCAGCATTAGATGCTCATAGAAGGGGTTTGAGTTCCTCTTAGCAGTAAGAAATAACATCTTTTAGATACAGACTATTGACCAAGTCTGTGATGAAGATTACCTCTATCCGCACATAGACTTCTCTCTGAGAAGGAGTTTAGAAAGCAAGATGGCCCTTTCTAAATCTTGTGTCTCCCTGACAGCGTTTTTTTTCTGGTAATGGTGAATAAATTTGTCATAGAAAAGGGGACACCCTTGGCCACTGTAATGCAAAATTGGGGAAAGATTTATGGCACAGCTCAATTGTCTGAGAAGCATGCAGTGGCCCTGTGCTGGAAGGAATGGCCATTTATTACTAGGGAAGCTGGTGGGGCCCCCTCGGCAATTCGGCCACCCCATGAAACATTCAGTCAGTAAGACTCACTTCTTTACAACACCACTTAGAAAATGAAAGCCCTTGTCAAATGGATTGTTGGTACATGTGGGATAATTGGGCATGGGCAAGGAGGCATCCAGCCAAGGGAAGAGGAATTAGACCTGGGGTAACAGTTGTGGTCATGGACTTTGACTCCCCAAACATGTCCCACCCCACCTTTTATGTCTAATGCTCTTTCTCAGTTTTCTGATTCTGCTCTGCTGCCAGAGTCTGTCCTCTGACTTCTAATGTAGTGCCCAATCCTGCTGCCATGTAACCAGGAGTGGCAGGTGGAGCCCCACCTGTACTGCATGTATTTACTAACCAACCTTGGAATCCTAGTGACGGCCCTATGGGGAAGTAAAATGCTGAGACTCAGGGAGATGCTCAATGGTTTTCTAACATATGCTCTGGGTACAATTCAGTTGTGGAGGTACTCAGACCTGATGAGAAGGGAAAAAAATCATTAATAAGGATGCTGAACTGACTCAACAAATGGGAGGAAACAGAAGCTCCCAGCCAGCAAATGATCCAGACTGGGACTATAATCGAGCATGAGATTGAGCTGCTTGTCAGACATGGCTCTGAAATTTAGTAGAAGCCATTAAAGCATATGGGGAGCTAGAAGCGAACAGGGCCATCAGCTCAGTACAAGAATACAGGTAGAGACCTGATGAGCATCCTCGCGACTTCTGGGGATGGCTCCAACAAGCTCTGTTCAAATACAGAGGAATGACACCAGAGAACTTTAATGACACACTCAAGATTGCCAGCATGGCAAAGAGAAAGTTTGCAAGAGATTTTGTGTGTGTCTGTATTCATGTACGATGGTCTTGAAGAGAAGCAGAAAGTTAAACTAATGAAAGAAAGGAACACAAAATAGCAGGAGATTCATTTGTTGGCAGCAGCCAGGAATTTGCAAGTGAGAGGTGGTAGGAGTCAAGGAAGAGAAAGATCAAGCAGGGGCTTTAAACTAAGGCCAGGAGATAGAAGAGAACAGAAAATATCAGAAGAAAATGTTATTTTTGTGTGAATCTGGGAACCAGAGCAAAAGGCCAGGTTTGTCAGACCCAAAAACCGTGTATGAGAAGGGTTGCTCAGCAGAAGAAAAGAAACAATTGGGAAAATGAGAAACAAACCAAGATGCCAAGGGAGTAAGGACAACTGGAGAAAAACCTGTACTTCCAAAACTGCAAGCTGTCCAGATATGGCATGCCTGAAGACAGAGAAAGAATCCAATAAGAAACAAGAAGATCCCAGACCAAAAATCACCACTGGAGGCATGTGAGGAACTTACAAAGAACAGGTACATAGATTGTAAGGGTATAAAACCCCAGGGATTTCTTTGTTCTGGGCCCCTCTCCAGAGGCATCCAGCTCAAGCTGTCCGTATTGCTCTACCACTCAATTATTGCATTATTGTTTTCACTGGAGTTGGATGTCTGACACTGCTGCAGGAAACCTCAGGCAAAGACCTTTCTCTTTAACGTGAGCAAGGTACAGGTTAGCAATGTGCAGCCTTCTGGGCTGGGAATAGGGATGGGGAGCACCTCTCACATGTCTCTGCTCAACTCAGGGCTGTGCAAACAGCAGAATAAATGAAGAGGAACGGATCTGTGCTGTGGTATGGTTATGGGCTTTCTGCCAGGCAGGCTAGGCTGAGAGCCAGGGGGTACAGCTAACCCAGCTCCCCTGTGCTTTGCCTGAAGCAGGGAGAAAAGGTTTGTAAAAGAGAACAGGCTGCTTTTATAGCACCTTCCTCAGGGACTTTTCCCCCCAGTCAAAACTCAGCTCTGAAAGAGGTTTCTCCTTCCTTGAGCACAGCCACCTCAGAGGAGGGGAGATCACAGGGTGAGAAACCAGTGTATATTTCCCCTTTCTTCATTAGCTTGGTGTGAGGCAGTAAAACTGGTCTCACTGGTTTCTGAGGGACACTCAGGAGGTCAGAAATGCACTATAAAATCCTGCTCAGCACCCAGAATAACAGGGCAAGAGCTAATACAGCTTCCTTGCTGAGCTATTCAGCCAGATTTCTATGCCAGGCAAGCCCAAAACATCCTGGTCAACAAGCTAAGCCTTGCTGCAGAGGGACAGTGGATCAAGATGGAAGGAAGCAGGAAGGGGTGCCATACAGAGGACCTTGACAGGCTGGAGAAGTGGGCCCACATGTATCTCATGAAGTTCAACAAGGTGAAGTACAAGGTCCTGCAGATGGGTTGGGGCAATCCCAAGCACAAATACAGGCTGGATGGACAATGGACTGAGAGCAGCCCTGGGGAGAAGGACTTGAGGGTGTTGTGTGACAAGAAGCTCAACATGAGACATCAGTGTGTGCTTGATGCCCAGAAAGCCAACCGTATCCTGGGCTGCATCCAAAGGAGCATGACCAGCAGGTTGAGGGAGGTGATCCTGCCCCTTTACTCTGCTCTGGTGAGACCTCACTTGGAGTACTGTGTGCAGCTCTGGGGCCACCAACACGAGAGGGACGTTGACCTTCTCAAGTGAGTCCAGAGGAGGGATACAAAGCTGATGTGGGGGCTGGAACACCTCTCCCATAAGGACAGGCTGAGAGAGTTGGGGTTGTACACCCTGGAGCAGAGAAGGCTTTTGGGAGACCTTTCGACAGTCTTCCAATACTTAAATGGAGCCTACAGAAATGTTGAAGGAGGATTTTTTACAACGAATATAGTGGCAGAACAAGGGGGGGTGGCTTTAAACTGATAGAAGGGAGATTTAGATTAGACAGAATGAAGAAAATTTTCCTTGTGAGAGTGGTGAAGCACTGGCACAGATAGACCAGAGAAGCTGTGGCTCCCCCATCCCTGGCAGTGTTCAAGGCCAGGCTGGATGGAGCTTTGAGCAACCTGGCCTAGTGGAAGGTGTCCCTGCCTGTGGCAGTGGAGTTGGAAGTGGATGAGCTCTGAAGTCCCTTCCAACCCAAACCATTCCATGATTCTATGAAGGGGCTCCAGGTGTGGTTAAGGATGGCACAAGGTGTACCCTTGCAGCGGAGGATCAAATTCAAGTGGTTCACGGGCCGTGTTGGAGCTGGAAACTTCCTGAAACACTTCCCAAAGCTTTTTGCTCTGGACTGTAAGTTCCCTAGAGCTTTGAGAGCTGGGAAAAGCAAACTGTTCTCCCCTCCCCAGCCCACACACAAACCACAATGGCACCAGAGATGCTGCACAGTGTTCCTTTATGAACGTATAGTATCGGAGCGAGATGTTCCTTTCCTTAGCGGGGCTGGCAGTTCCTGCAGAGATCAGAGATGGCTGCATCAGGGATGAGTCTGAGCTGGCCTTCCTGAGCGCACCCTACACCTTGGTACAGGGGCTGCAGCCACAGGTGGAGTGGGATAGTGCCTGTACCAGCCAGAGTTCAGGCACCCCCCCTCTCTCCCAACAGGAGAGCAGATACTACTTCAGGAGTGGGCACCAACGGCCTGGGGAGGGATCTGCCCATCAGGGGGGCCTTGGGGCACCCTCGGGTGGCAGGGAGGTCCCTATCAGAGCCTGCTCCAGATGCTGCTCACCTCTTTCCCATCATAAGCTTCATTTACAAAGGTGTCACTTTTCGGGGGAAGCTCTTCTTCCTCTTCATCCTCTTCCTCGGGATCGCTTTCACGGTGGTACAAGGTCAGCACCCGGGTAGAGGCAGTGCTTGAGGTCCTGGTGAGGAAAACAGTAATACAACTGAGAATGGCATGGCCACCTCCTTGAGATGGGGCAGATCCCAAGGTCCTGCCCCAATCCCCGGTAGTAGCCTGCAAGGGTGATGGGAGCTTTCCAAATAGCCCAGGAGTGCCTTAGGACACCATGCTGTCCCTGGGCAGGCAAACCCTGTCCCTCTCCATCCCCAGTTGTACCTGTCCCAGCAGAGCCCCAGCGCTCACCTCCTCCGCCTGTCCCTCCTCCGCATGTAGGCCAGGGCCCCCACACCAGCAGCAGCAAGCACCAGGAGCACGGCCACCCCCAGGGCAATAGGTCCTGCAACAGGCTGCACCTCTGCCTCCTCGCAGTAGTCACCACGGTAGCCCAGGGCGCAGTGGCAGGTCACTCGCCCATCCTCGATGGCACAGTCCCCATGGAGGTTACACATCTCACTGCTGCACGGCACAGCCCCCAACACCTCTTCACTGCTGGGAGGTACCAGGAAGGGCTGTCCACGATCCCTGGGACCAGAGGCTGCAGGCACACTGGGACCGGGCTGCCGAGACTTGTGTGCAGCTGTGGGTGAGGTTGGTTTCTGTTCTTCCGCGTGAGACATTCCAGATGTTGCCATCACGGGGATCTGGGTCCCCACCTCCAGAGAAGGGCCTAGCAGGATGGACATAGATCAGTCACAGATGAGACCCCCCCTTCCCAAACTGGGGGGAAACTGGGGAGGCAGGACCCCTGCACACACCGGCTGCGGGCAGGCACTCACAGTCAGACTCATCAGAACCATCAGCGCAGTTGGGGTGCCCATCACAGATCTGCTCTCTGGAGATGCAGGTCTCAAGGTCAGGACAGGCCTGGAGCGGGGCCGGGCAGGGCAGTGCCTTGGTGCATTCCACCCCTCGCACCAGGCGGTAGCCAGGGGAGCAGCGGCACAGCCGCCCCGCAGGGTTGGGCAGGCAGAGCTGGGCACAGCCTCCATTGCTCTTTGCACAGCCGTTGGTGCCTGCCAAGATAGCATGGATTAGCATGGCCACCACAGCGGATGGCTCAACTGCCCAGATGCCCCAGACCCACCTTCCTGTGAGAACTGGCTGTAAATCTTCATGGCTACCAACTCCTGCTCCATTGGGAACCACCAGCTCTCAGCCCGCTCCAGACGGCTGTGCCAGATCCTGCTAGACCCTGAAGATACATGGGGTTGGCATTGCTTCATCTTCTTCCACAAGGGTGCTCAGGATGGGAGGTGGGGACCCCAGCCTACCCTGCACCCCTCAGGGGCTGGCAGAGAGCCCGTGCTGTGGTGCAGCAGGAGGAGCTGGGCAGAGCACAGCAGACAAACTCACCGTTGGCTGAGGTTGTACTCCATAGCAGAAAGCCTTCTCCAATGGCAAAGAGGGAGAGGCCATGCAGTCCCTCCCGCACCACCCGCAGCCGGGTCCCATCCAGCTCGATGCTGCTGATGGTGCCTCTCTCTGCAGGGCACAGATGCAGGGACATCAGACGTGGGGACACAGGGGGCTCCAGGCTGCCCCTTGGGGCTGTGCGCTGCAGACCGAGCGCCTGCACCACTGCTGCCCCCAGCAGTGCCCCTGCTCAGCCCACACTCACCACGGTCTGCCCAGTACAGCCGGGTGCCAACACCCCCAAAGGCGAGGCCAGTGGGAGCCCGGGCTCTCCTCCAGAGCACCCTGCGGCCGGTGCCATCCATGGCTGTGCACTC